GAAAATAACTCAAAACACATTTAGGAAGCAAACAAACAAAACAAAAAAGCAACAACAATGACTAGACAAAACACGGAAAAACCTCATTCTAAAAGAAAGCAGAACATATTAAGAAATGAAACCATTTTAGACTAAGTCAAGAGGGAGCTCAAATGATAAGTGATTACATTTTAACTACATCTGCCATAACAGACTTTACAATGCTCTCTGTGTGATGGCAAGGCGATTCACACCCCTTGCCTGTGGTCAGAGGAGAGTCATTGGAGACTGAACCCATGTATGGACCTTGTAAATGGATTTTGGGCTTCCACTGCCATCCATAGGCTTCTATAAATTGGGTGTTCACAATTAACGCTCTGATACCATTCTCTTCTTCAGATTTGGATTTTGTTATTTACAATCCTTGGATCACACACAGTTGCAATAACCTTGAGTTGACCTCTCTGGCTTGGCATCAAGTGACCCAGCAAATACTCTCATAAACCTTTTATCTGAAGGCACTCTAAAGGGACTAACATAAGTGTTGTTATTTGTTCACAGTTATCTACTGATCCAAGAAACGTGTATTAGCATGCTCTATCTGGAACAAACCTGTGCATGTCTGAACTAGTATAGTATTACACTATAGTGTAATACTTTTTACTTACCCTTGTCTATTTTCCTAGATTATAGTTGGAAAGTCTACTTATTATATGAATAATATAACCTCTTTAGCAGATTTGTTGATCTGTTTAACTATCCGTACCCAAGCGCCACACTGTCCTAATTACTACAGGATTATATTATATATTGAAAGCAGGCAAAGGATAGTTCCCTTCTCTCTAGTTTCTTCGGCTGCTGCTCTTTTTTTTCTCATCTCAAAAGTTTAATTTATGTGACTCTGTAATTCTTATAATTTAATCATCTTGTAAAACATACACACATAACCTTTGTTGTTTGGGTGGAAAATACATTAAATTTATAGATCATTTTGGACAAAATTAAAACTTCACTATGATGACTCTTCTGAATCCTGAAGATGATTAATTTAGTAATTTACTTACGCTTTCATTAATGCCCTTAGAATTTTTATCTTTCTTTCATAAAGAAATTTCATATCTATTTTTAAAGGAACTTTATGTATTTTGATGGTATTATAAAGATAAAAAGTTAAAGTTATAATTTCTAATTCTTTCTAATCATTAGATAGAAGAACAATGTATTTATACAAGCTTATATTTTATCCAATTACTTTGGTAATCTCTCGTATTAATGCTGAAAATCCATATGTGTATTTTAGATATGTTAATAATATTCATATAATTAGCATAATAACAGTTTTCTTTCTTTCATACCCTGTACACTTTCCTCCCTGCTAGGACTCCAGTAAAAGAAAGGATTGAAGTGGCTTTAGAGGGCTTTGAGACTTATTCCTCATCTTGGAGAGAATGCTTTTAATGCTGCACAATTAAGAAAGAATTTTGGTGACTTCCTTTTTTTAGCAGTTAGTCTTAATCAGGTTAATGAAATTGTCTCTATTTCACTAACTTGTTAAGAGTTTATCATAAATGGATTTGAATGTTATCATGCGTGACAGGTTTTTTGTGCCAACATGGCACCCATAAGAAGATATGGGTGGAGTTTAGCCTGCCAATCAGTCACAGCTTGATGACCTCATTTGCAAGTGCCACCAAGATAAATGGCTCCCTGGAGGTGGACTACTCTCTCCCTTCCTTCACCTTCCTGTGGACGAGCCACCCTGAGACCTCCAAGTGCCCTGGAGATGCATCCGCCACCATTATTGGATCCATGGGACTTTGCATCCACCGGCCTGTGATCTTCCTGAATTCTGTATCCTTGCATGCAGCTTTGTGACTCTGAAGTAGCATTGGACTCATGGACTCGATCTGGACTGGGCTGGATGTTTCCTTGATATATGATTATTTCTTGATATCGAGCTCTTTCTTATACATATATGAGGATGTTTCTGGGTTTGTTTCTCCAGTCAAACCAGTCTAATACACCATGTATCTACTGAGATAACTAATTATTCTTTCTTAATCTGATATTGTGATGAATTACTGTGTGTTACACCATAATGTCACACCATGATGATTTTCCTGGGATAATTTATCTCAAAATTATATGTTTATCAGCAGAATTAAACTTCTATTTTGCTAGCATAGAGATTCTTGTCAGTTGGCAAATTCTCCACTTTGTGTGTCCTAATGAGTTTGTGTTGGATGGGAGTTGTTTGGCTCTTGAATATTCTGAACAATTTGCCACTAAACCCATCGTCATGGATTGTCTTGGTGGAGTCATTTAGAACTACCCGTTCATTTGTAGCCATCACGTGCTTATTTGGTGACAGGCTTTTCTGCTTTAACCTGCTGTGAGAGCACCTGAAGACAAAACAAAACGTTCTAAAAGTTTTGCAGCAAAAATAGCAGGATGAATGGGGAGAAGGAGCTAGTGTCAGATGACTCAAGTGTGTAATTATTGCCCTAATTAAAGCAATAATCATGCTAACGAAGCATAAGCAGGGTCTCTATCCAATGGATTTTGTACTCAGCTTCACAGTTCATCAGAATCTTGGAGCACAGGGCTCATGCTTGCTCCTTCCGGATATGGGTCCATGAATACATTTGCTTCCAAAAAAGATCTGTTTAATAACAATCAAGTAAAAAATAGAATCTGGAAAATTCTACTAATCATCAACCAACATTTTAACTACAAAGAAAGCTGTTGCAGCCGTTCATCAACACCCTGAGGACAGCCCACAGCAGGCGCGGCCGTACTTTCAGAGCCATCCACGCAACTACTGCTGGCACTTGCAGGTGCTGGACCATCTCAGGAAGTCGGCGATGGTCAAGAAGCAACATCCTGAAGGATGAAGTCCAAACCAGACTGTGAAGATTCAGAACCAACTCAACGGTAGTGAGTTTGGGTTTCCATGTGTAACAATTTCTCTCAATGACTGACTTTTATTCCTCTTTTCCACATTGTTTTCCTTCACATCTTTCCTTCCTTCTTCCTTCTTCCCTTCCTTCCTTTTCCCTTTCCCACCTCCTTACCTCTCACCTTTTTCCTTTCTCCCTCTTTTCTTTCTTTAAGAAATAGCTTATCCCAGTTCTACCTTACAAATCCGGCTAGACCAAAGGATGTACACTGGTACAGATAGGAACTGGAAACACAGGAAATCCAGGACAGATGATCCCCTCAGGACAGAGGTGAGAGTGGCGATACCAGGAGGGAGGAGGTAAGTGGGGGTAGAAAGGGGGAACCAATTACAAGGATCTACATATAACCTCCTTCCTGGGGGATGGGCAACAGAAAAGTGGGTGAAGGGAGACGTCGGGCAGTGTAAGATATGACAAAATAATAATTTATAAATTATCCAGGGTTCATGAGGGAGGGGGCATAGGGGAGGGAGGAGGGGGGAGGAAAATGAGGAGCTGATTCCAGGAGCCCAAGCAGAAACCGAGTGCTCTGAGAATAATGAGGGCAACGAATGTATAAGTGAGCTTTACACAATTGATGTATGTATGGATTGTGATAAGAGTTGTAGGAGCCCCAATAAAGCGATTTTTTAAAAAAGATAATAAATATTTAAAAATTCAACCAGAAATATAAAAATAAAAGACACTCGATGGCAAATAGAAAGTTTCTAGTACACAGGATCCCACCCCAAATAAAGACACCCATTGTCTAGAGGATTTCAATTCCTAGAGGCCCTATAGGATGGAGTAAAACTGAAATCTTGGCAGAAGCACACTGCTACATCTTTCTCCCACAGAGCATCTGGTGGTTTTGAACCAGCAACCTTTGGGGCAGCAAGTGCTTAGGCACTTTCCCACCAGGGCTCCTTTTACTACCCAGAAAACCCAAACACAAAACCTACTGCTACCAAGTGGATTGTAACTACAGTGATCCGATAGAATAAAGTAGAATTGCCCTTTAGATTTTCCAGACTATAATTCCTTACAGGAGCGGACAGTTTCATCTTTCTCTTGCTAGTGGGTTCACATGGCTGACCTTCTTTTTAGTAGTTCAATGTGTCACCCACTACGCTACCAGGGTTCCTTTCTTGCACCCAGAGGAGCCCAAAGTGATTTTTCTTCTTTGCATCCTCCTCCTCCTCCTTCTCTGTTATTATAAAAACATGCATAAATATTAAACCCAAAGGAATGACAGGTTCAGAACACAATTGACGGGAGTGTATGCTTTAATTATATTAAAAATCAAAACATCAAAAACAGTACACCATATGGAGGGAGCCCAAGGCTCCATCTGGTTCTGTATGGAATTCTCCATTCTTATAAAATAAACAGTGTTTCGATGTTAAGAAGACACACTCATGAAAACTGGTCTGGAATCTCTGCAATCTCGATGCACAGCTTTTCATTTCTTCTTTCCTGGAAAAAGCGCTTACTCTCCCAACTGCAAGTTCTAGCAAAGGGGTCCATCTAAGTTAACAAATGGCTGCCATCTGAAAGAACATGGCTTTTGAGATCTTGAATTTCTAATCAATTTACCTAGAATTTTTATTGTTGATATTCCCAAATAAATTTGATTTGACATTGAAGAACAAAAAGGATAAATAAATGTCATAAAATTTTGTGTGGGTGTGAGGTAGGAGATTATCCCCCAAGGTCAGTTTGTGTTTGATTCCTTCAATGAGTACAAAAACTTTAGCGAGTCCACCTCATCTTATTTCTGTCATTTTCTCATCCAATTTTGCACCTTCTTTTTCCTTTACCTAGAAGCAGTGGTTGTATGAAGGGTTCTGATAAATATTGGAAGGACTTTTTGTACAAACAGAAGATTTCTCCTCCCTCCCTTGTCCACCACCCTCACCAAAGTCTTAAAAGCTAGCATGAAAGTCTTTATGCTGGTCCAAATCTCTCCTTCACACACACACACACACACACACACACACACACACACACACACACACTGCAAACAATGTTATTCTGCTAAGCTCCTGTCCTTTTGCTTCAAATCACTCATACAGAGTAAATCTATTCAGTTTCTTTTTGAGTGAACACATTAGTATTATGGATATGTGAGCTGAAAATTTTACCTAGTATAATGTATTCGAGTGCTTTCCAAAACCAGGAATAAAAGAAACCATATATTAAAGGGTTACAGCTGGAATTAAAATAGCCAAATCATGTGAGAGCATCAAACAAAACGGCAGGAGTAGAAAAATTCAGAAAGGGATCTAGTAGGATTGTAAAGAAACAGGGAAACCAACACATTAAAAAAACACCCATCACGATTCCTAAAGTTTTGGCTGCTTTTTTGTCTTTCTTCATTTGATTATTTTGATTTTCTGGCAAGCTATTAATTGCACGGGCGTGTTTTCTGGACACTGCAAATATTTTGCCATAAATCCCCACCATCACAGACCCAGGAGTGAAGAAGCCCGCCATAAACAAGGTGGTCCCCCACAGCTTGTTGAACATCACAGGGCAGGAGCTGGAACAAGCCACCAAGACATCTGTAGCCTTCGATTCCATCCACGTAGGCCTCTGAGAAGACTACCGCAAACGCAAATGCGCCGGGTACTGACCAGCACACAAGTAGTAACCGGCGAATGACTGCAGGGGTCATTTTGGTGGAATATCGTAAAGGGTCACAGATAGCATAGAATCTGTCAATGGCCACTGAACAAAGATGGAAAATGGATGTTATGCTAAGCATCAGGTCAAAGCTATAATGAATCTTGCAAAACATAATCCCAAAATACCAGCAATTCTCCACAGATCTGATCATACTATTTGGCATGATGGTGAATCCCAGGAGAAAATCCGTGACAGCCATGGAGAGGATGAGGAGGTTGGTTGGTGTCTGAAGCTGCTTGAAGTAGGCAATGGAAATGATCATGGCAAGATTGCCGA